CAGAGACTTTATCTCTATCAAGTCCCCATTCGTTACAGGTGTTGATCTATTGATTTGGTTTTCGATAATAATTTAGTAGCTACAAAACGAGGTTGTAATTTAAAAACACGCCTCAGCGTTTGTACCAAAAAATTTAACATGTCATCCCACTTCTGATTTTTGCGAAAACGCATTTTTTCTTTTTATTTCTTTTATTTTTAAACACTAGGTTTCGGCGTGTTGAAAGTGACTTCATCACGCCAAAATGCTCAAATTTGTGATTAGTATGACATTCTTGCGAATCCGCACAATCCTCTGATTTATAAAATATACGATAGAATACGATTAAATACTATGCGCACTTATCTTTTGACAGCGCTATTCATCTTAACTAGTTTCACCGTAGGTGTATCTTCAGAGTTGGCAGACTAAAATCAGTATCGATGTTGACATAGTTGGTGTCTTTCATGGTGCTATAAATCACAGATCTGGCACAACAATTCGTCCAACACTCGAAATTTTAATAAATGATAAACGTTGCCAACTACGATGCTGTCATAATTTATTGTCTTCTCTACTCTACATAATTTTTCTTTTATATCTGATTTCTACTATTAGTAAGCTAGAAACATGGTTACATTTCGCAATAAATTTAGACGAATCTTTCGTGCTGCTCCTTATTTGTATCTAACTACATTTAGTATACATATACATCTTGTTCTGCTCTATTGTTTATCGATTTAAATCTGTGGTGTTTAGCGCTTTGACCGGTGTGATTGTGGCCGTGGGTAAATTTCGTCCATTGAACTCCGTTTCGCCATCAGTGTCGGAGCGAGCTCATCCAGATCATCAAACGGGCTTCGAAGTTATACTTAAACTAAACTCACTATTTTAATAGCAACAAATTGAGGGCCTAATTTCAACACGCGCCTCATCATTTGTACCAAAAAATTTAACATGTCATCCCACTTCTGATTTTTGTGAAAACGCATTTTTTTCTTATTACAGTGCGCTCGGGATAACGTCAACTAATTAAAACCGCGAGTGTTGTTAAGTTTGGTTTTTGATTCATTTCCCTTTTTTT